CGAAAATATCAACGAACTCCACTAAGCGAAAGGAAGATCTACTAGATATTAATTAAATTTTTATAAATATATCAATTCATGTGAATATGACTGAAAAAATTCATTTTTTCTGAAAAGGTGGTGTCTAGTTTACTTGTGACCACTCAGTGTATATTTCCACTTTACTCACAAATCTTATCTTTCGAGACCCCGGTGGCTCAGCGGTATTAGGGCTTATAACGCTACAAATTGGGTTTCGATACTCGCGTGTGGCAGAGCATAGATAGACCTTTATGTATCTTTGTGCTTAGCAATAAACAAACAAACAAACGTATCTGTTCAAATCCCGCTTTCATATTTATGCTCACAGGGACACCTCTGGAACTGTCACACACAAAAATGTTCACAAAAATATTTCACCACTAAATTTTTATGCACAGAATCTGAATCAAGAAATCAAATTTTTTCCAAATGATGTTTTTGTGGATAAATCGGTAACATATAGGAAAATCCCTCCCACCACCTTTTTTTTAAAGAAAACTGACGTGGCCCGGCGACAAAAGCCGGCTTGTTTTATTCTATAAATTGAAGGTTCGAAACTGACCTCCGTCATTATATTTCTTTGCAGATTTTTTACGAAACTTTGAACAAAAATAATACTTTAAAATATTTTAAATACTCTTTGACCTCAGACATTTGAGTTAAAAGCCGTCAAGCCGAAACAATCGGTCAGAAATAAGTAATGATTTGTGAACCGGATAAATTGCTAAAAAGCTTTAAATGGCTCTTAAAACATGGGAAAGATTGTTGTTTTGACCTCCAAATAGAAATACTCGTGTATGTCATATCGGGAATCAAAATGACTTAGGCCTGACACTTCTGTTACGGTATAAACGATAAAAAACTTGATAACATAGTAATAGAAGTTTCAGAGGGTCCTTAAACTATTTCTACTCATATAAAAAAAAAACTTTAATATAACTAGAAGAGAATTAAAAGCAATTAACAATTTAAGTGAAAATAAAGGAATGATTGCAGTTAAACCAGTCAAAAGAAAAGGTATATTTCTATTAAATAATGAATGTATAACTAAAGTACTTTCAGTAATATCCGATGAAACTAAATTTAGAAAATTAAACCATCAGAGAGAGAGGGTCAATTACAAAGATATTTGTTAAAAAAAGATAATGTCATTTGTGATGAAATATGTAAATATATTAGACCATTAAGTTCTTACTGTGTTTTCTGTACGGTGTGTTTGTTTGAAGTTAAGCACAAAGCTACACAATGGGTTATCTTTGCTCTGCCCACCACGAGAATCGAAACCCGGTTTCTAGCATTGTAGGCCAAACTATTTGCATATTTCTTCGTCACACCCATTTTCCTGCAATCAGAGGTGTGTCAAATGATATTTAGTAGGATAGTGTATATCTCATGAAAAATACAGGTTGGTGGCAGCATTATAGAAGTGTATTCTATTGGCTTTGTTTGTTTTAAAGCATAAGGTTACACAATGAGCTATCTGTTCTCTTCCAACCGTGGGTACCGAAACCCAATTTTTAACGTTGTAAGCCCACCGACTTATCGCTGAGCCACCGCGAGCCTTCTGGTTACCAAAAGGAACATAAACTTGAGAACAAAGAACCCATCATACAATTAGTGGAACTCATTGTAAAAGCAAGTGTGTTTATATCAATAGTACAGGGAATGAAGGAAAACCAACTTAAAGAAGTTGAAAGTGTAAACAGTAAAATAAGCACAAGAGAATAATCAAATATAGTAGAAAAATGTGAAACGTAAACGAACCCCTATTTATATATTAGCATTATAAGAAACAAGACCGTTTATTGTTGACCAGTAAATCCTCAGTAAAATGAAATATAATCTCCAATCGAAAAAATGGACAAAAACTAGAGATTATAATGTATCGTAACCTTTCTCTATGATCAAGCCACCACACTAGCAATGATGTCATACAGAAGCCTAAACAAACATCAGCTTTCTATTTTATGTGTATATATTTATAAAGCTGTGTTCTACAGAAGAATTAAATAATGAAATAATATTGTTGAAACTTAGCAGTTGACAAAGGTTTTTACTCAGGTATCGCTGATAGAGCAGTTAAGATATTTATTAAACAGTCTTGTAATAATAGCAATTTCTTGAAAGTATTTGAAAAAAAAAATATAAGAAGGATTAATTTTGCCCTATATACCTAGTTTATCTTGTAAAGTTTTCAATGTTTAAAAACGAATTACTCTGTATATAAACACATAAAATTAATTACTAAAGTGAATATAATTGAAAACTGGTACTTACAAAATAATTTGTAAAATTAAAAGCGTATTCATATTACATACTATAAGGAGCCTATAATGTAAAGTGCATGGACATAAGCTAAATGTTAAAAATGAGAAAATAGATATTCCACCATTAGCTAAACACTAGTATAACAGAACATATAATCCAAATGGAAAAAAATATTTTATGAACTCGACCGAATAATTAGAATCCCAGCTATATTCTTGAATGATTGAAGATAATTAGGTTTAAGAAAAATTAATAATTTATTAAATATGAACGGTGTAAGTAGATTAAAAAGAAGATATAGGAAGTTTATGAGATCTTGTGAACTACATTCCTCAAGATGTCTGTTCAAAACCTCTAAAAGTATAGAGTGGGTTTGTGAATGTAGATGAATCTCAAATAAAATTCAAAATAAAAGATAATGAAAATGTTTTAATAAAGTACACTGAAAAGTATGCAACTGAATATCTCAAGCAATACATTCGTTGTAGTGAAATCTTCTCAAGAAATACATTCGTTGTAGGATTTCTCTACAACGAATGTATTTCTTGAGGAGATTTCTCTACAACGAATGTATTTCTTGAGAAGATTTCTCTACAACGATCGTATTGCTTGAGAATATTTCTCTACAACGAATGTATTTCTTGAGGAGATTTCTTACTCAAGAAATACATTCGTTGTAGAGAAATCTTCTCAAACAAAATGTTCGTTGTAGATAATATTTTTCCATTGTTAGAAACATTGTTCTAATTTTGCCTTAAGTACTGATCTAGATATCCTAAAACTCTCTAATCAGTAGATAATAAATCGACCAATCACCGTGACATAATGGGGAATTGAAAGAGGTTAAGACATACCAATTCACTCTGCATATATATATATATAATCGTCCAATCAGTGTGTAATAATGGGGAACTGAAAGAGGATAAGACATACCAATTCACTCTGTGTGGTGACATAAATATCCCCAAAATCTGTATATGTATGTAATAATCGTCCAATCAGTGTGTAATAAAGACCTAACACATACCAATCTATCCAAACACAGGTTAAGACATACCAATCCATTCCGGTACATAATTCTTTTCATAAGGGTTTAATTTGACATAGGGGTGATCAGGTGGAAAAGGTTGAAAATATATTGTCTCTCCACCGGCTAAGTAGCCAGCCCAAAGACTAAACGTACCTTTGGTAACAATGCTGTGGTTACATTTGGACAACACTGCCATATCGTGGGCTGGAGATGAGGGTTTTGGAGCGATAACTACGTTTATCTGATTCAAGTTTGCTTGGCACCATTTCCGGTCATCACTTACTACCACGAACGTCACGTTTCGGTATTTGGATAGAAAATAATTCATGGCCTTCTTGAAGAATTCATTTCCTGGGATGGCACCCTTTTGTTTTGCTAAGTATCTTGTCATATCTGTTCTTCTCACGTGGATTCCAACAAAAGTATCCACAGACCTTGTTTGTTGTATACGATGTAACACGTTCTCTGCATACTGGTCTATTGGATCGACGAACCTGAATTGCTGTCTTATTTCGAATCTGACAAAATCATAAAATGTTGGTGAAACTGCATATTGGTTTCCTCTCAAAATTACGACATCCTTGGGTATTGCTACATCACTTGAACGTATGTACCTATCTATGTTGTAGTAAGGAAGACTTTTGTTCGTTTCTGATAGCTCAGTAGTCGTTTCTATGGTGATTTTAAAAAACTGACGCAGTTGCTGAGCAGTATGTTGTTGGAGTACGGGCTTTCTGTTGTTCAGCCGTGATAAGCCATATAATGTTGCAAATATTCCCATTTGGTTTCCTAGGCGACCTCTGCTTTTAATTATTGTAAGTGGTAGTTTCTTCTCATCTGTAGGAAAGAAAACAACTCAAATATTTAAAATAACACTTAGATGTAGAGTGCAAACATGTAGCAGCAAAAAGAAATATAAATTATCAGTTAAAATGAGAATATTTTATCACTGTAAGAATAATTGAAGTTCTCAATTATTCACATTAAATCATAAGAATATGCAGTTTGAGATTTTTTCTACACATGTGAATAAATCAGCTTCGTGATTCTTACACCTTTGATCACATAAGTTCTGTTAATTAACTACTTACATTTTTGTCGGAGGTATTCGGTTATGAAATATATTTTTGATATAAAACAAACTTCTGCTTCAGCTGCACAAAGAGAACAACTCGTTGTAAGTTTATTTGTTTTAAAGCAAAGCCATATTAGGCTATCAACTGTGTCCACCGCGGAAAATCGAACCCCTGATTTTTAGCGTTGTAAGTCCAGAGGCTAACTGCTGTCCCACCAGGAAATTCGTTGTAAGTTAAATTTACAAAGGTATACTTAACAACGCCGAGAAGAATGCCAGTTTAGCCAGGTAAAATTGTGTCAATTAATTAATAAAATTGAAAACCAAGTCTGAATACTAAGAATCTTATATATTTTACCTGGATTACCAAGATCACTGGACAACTTGTTGGTTTGTACATCAGCTAGGTAATTCTTGGCAGAAACAAGGTTCCGTGAGTTAGTAATACGACGGGTTATTACCAAGACAACTATTGCTGAGGTAGTTAAAACAGCAAAGAGCTTCCAAGAGGACATTTTGTTCGTAAAGTCTTTTCGTTCCAATAGTTCCAGTAGTTTCTAACTCAGCTTTAAGTAAAAGAAAGTATAACAAACAAGTAGTAAAAGACAAAAATATTTTATAGATAAAGTTTAGTTCAATGAAGTAATGAGTTGAGAAGTTATTGTGTTTTGTTCTATAAAACAAGCAACCAGTCCCTACAATTAAAACAACTTACTTGTCTTCGCTAACTTTCGACCCGTGATGTCAAAATTTCATTTGAATTTCAGTTTGCTTTCTCTATATTTACGGACGATGTTTTTTCAACGTTTAAGAATATAATCTTAAAATTAATATTAAATAAAATACCTGTTATATTCACATTAGAATAAGGAAGTTTTTTTTGTGTGTGTGTCTGTAGTTCGTAAATTTACAGTATATTAAGATCAGTTAGGACGACCTATTCGTAAAACTACACATAATTTTTAATGTCGGCTGTTAAAGTTTTTCCTAACACAAACGCGATAATTCATAACGAACCTCTCACGTGGTCCACTGA